TAGAATATAGAGGTGTGTGTATGTGCTTTTAGTTTTGTTCACTTTATGATACAGACAGAAGCTATTCATAAGTTCTCATTCATAAGAATAGTTGGTAAAAGTGACATAAAAGTTTAGAATAGTTTTACGACACCTTTTACTTCTTGGATTATTGTCATCAATCATGTTAAGCCTTCTGTAGTCCAGCCACATAGATGGTTTGGGTCCGATTCACTCCTAAACCTCGTTTAGTTTAGTATACAACAGTAACTTGACAGGATAAATAAAGAGAAGTCTAGTGGAATATAGAAATATGATCAAACTTTCTAGGTATTTGCACCACTTTAGTCGACTCATCCAAGTTATTCAAAGTCTGTAACCGTCGACTTTGATTATGTTGTGGAATTTATTTCATACTTCCAAATGAAAGTGGTATCAAAAGCCAACAACTCCATGAACTGGTGTTAATCCAAGTCTAATACTAATACCTGCTACAGTTGCATATTGGATTATGTAGGGTGTGTCCAGAAGTGAAGCATCTAACAGCCATATCGATCGGGCTGTTTCAACGTATGCCAGTTCTGCACAAAAGTATGGCATACTAGTTATTCCGATGAGAATAACAGATGGACACAGAGAAGTAAAAGATAAAGACAAGCAGAAGTGTACACACACGGATTATTAATATTCAATTGATATTGTGGTGAGAGCTGTCTGCAAGCCAAAATGGTAGACAACAATTTGCGTCAACGGCTACGTCCCGAATTGGGCTCATGAGAAAAAACATTAACAAAGCTCAACCTTGAGGAACTCACCAGCCAATCACAGCAGACTTAACGTGTGCAAATGCGGTTCGCAGATATATGGTATGACTTTCTAAAAAACGGCCACATAGAGATGACAGAATAAACTTGAGCAGGAAAACAACCAATCAGAAGGCGTTGCTTCTCTGCTAACAACAAAAAATAATGATGTACATAAAAATCTATAGATATCTGTTGATTTTCTCAATAAACTATCTGTTGCCAGGCCCTAGTTACTGCTGGATAATCAGAATCCATAATTCATTAAAGTCACTACTCAGTGGGCGATTAAGCGAAATATACTAGGTTTTATATGATATATACCTTAGTGATATTAAGAATCAATAGTTGAAGACCCTTGATATAATTCAAAAATTGAACACATTTGCTTAGATATGCAGTTATTCTTTGCTATTTACGAACAAATTTGACTTTTGTTTGTCTATTTATTCTTGCCGTCTTATTCTGATGTTGAGCTTACAAGGAGAGATGACGGAACTTTAAGAAGGTCAATCCATAGGAAACCGACTTGGAACGAACACTTAACAAGTTTCTACATCTGGGTATCAATCAGTCGGAAAAGAAACCTAATTAAATCCCTTGCCACTCGCGTCAGACGCATCTGCAGCTCCGACACCATGGAAGAAGAACTAAACTTCCTGAGGGAAATCTTCATACAAAATGGCTACCCACCAAGATTCGTAGACAAAAACATCAAACAGAAAAACCAAAAGCAAGAGACACCATCCGTGCCAAAAAAGATACTTTATGTGAACCTAGACTTCAAAGGAGACCTACTTAGTGACGTCCTCAGAAGGAGAATTTCCACCTCTTTAGGAAGAACTTTCCCTGCGGCAACACTAAGAATAGTGTTCTCCAGTCGCCCGCTGATCTGCAGAAACCCAAAGGACAAGATTCCGCACATGACCACTTCTATGTGTATATATCAGTTCACCTGTTGCTGTGGAGCCAGGTACATCGGTCGTTCAACGCGCATCCTGCGTGGCTACAGAAAGGAAATAATGGCCATATAAGGAGTGCAATAATCGAACATCTCGTCAACACTGGTCATTCCATCTCAACGAACGCCTCCTTCAAAGTAATCTACAAAGTGAAGAACAACCTTCCAAAGACAGTATGATTCCGTCTTCTTTGCATCGCAGAAGACCTAGCCATCCAGTTGGTGGAACCAGAACTATGCATACAAAAGAAAGATATCCAACCACTTCTACTCGCACGGCAACAACTCCGTTGATTTGACCTAACTTTTCTTTGATTGTTTGATTTGACCTTACTTCTGTTTGCATGCTTATTTTTTCTAACTTAAAACCCTTGTGTAATTCTGTATATTATTTCGTTTCCATGTACACCCTGAGCACAACTCATTCATCAAACTGTTTATGCCATTACGTAACTCTTATTTAACAATCATTTATGACAACTCATCACTTTTGTTGCTATCCTCTTATAAACATCCAATTTATCTGAACTTACTAATTGTATTTTCGTTTGACAAATTTAATGTATGCACACACACACACAAAATAACCACATATATTTGCGATTGTACAGCTATGAAAATGAATTCGCCGAAAAGAGACTCTTCGCTGAATTACTTGTCTTCTGTCTACTAATGTTCGAATGGGAATTATTCATGAATTATTCTGATCTGATATTCTGAATTGGTTCAATTTGTTTTATACATTGGTCTGTTGGTATATTTGGCTCTCAAAATTGACTATATTCCTTTATGCTTTTTCATATTAAACTGTCTCGCCAATCGTGCTTCACATGGTCCTGGTTTTGGTTCGATCCCCGGCTGGCGCACTTCTAGACCTTGCTTGGCCAGCAGTAAGTTCGGTAAAGAGGGTAGTTTGGGTGTAAGACTAGCAACCCCACCCCGTAAAATCAAAACCATCGCTACTGAAGCTTAAAGCCTAATGTCCTACTCGGAATGTGTAAAGGGATGGAAAATGTATCTTAACAAATGACTACTGCATTTCTCTTTAGATCTACTGAATTCATTGTGTTACAGTAACTTTTATGACTGTTACTCCTGATTATCCTTATCTTTTATCTATCATGTTTTATTCTTCTATTGTAATAAATAATTTTTTTTTAAATTCAGTAGATCTTTTTACTTGACTAAACGCACTTATTCGGCACATATTTTTCACATATACATATATTTTACCTAGGATTGATAACACTATCCAGTTCTGCAGGTAGGTTAGAGTGAATGGAACGGGATTCGAACCCAAGACTCATTGACTGAGTCTTGAGTGCTGAAAACAATGAGTCATATTTCCACTGTATTCTGTTTTTTTACCTCCATTTTTTTTCTATAGTTTGATTTGTAAGGATTAGTTATGTTTTACGGGTTGATCACGGATTGATATCAGTTAGAGAACCATTGAAAACCAGGGAGTACTGGACAGCTGCTGTTTCATCCTAGTTTGGGAATCATCGGCAGTACGCACCCACTGGGATTCGAACCCGGGACCTTCTGGTTACAAGGCAAGCTCGTATACCATTCAGCCACTGGGACCCGATTCCACAGTTGTACCAAAAATACGGTGTGGAATCAAGCTCTAATCAAAAAATCAAATCAGGTAAATCCAGCTGACGAATCTCAGATAGGAAAAAACGCTCGTCCTGGACTCTACTGCTAGTCGCCGTTCACCAATTTAATTCGGGTTAAGTTATGAACCATCGTCGAAGCATCTGCACAAGGAGCCAATAATATCAACCTGAGGACATGCACTTCGGTTCAATCAATCAATCAACCAGTCGGAAAGTTCAAATTGAATTAAATTTGTGTTATTGCCCATCTCAGAGTAGTATGTTATTATAAATTTTCAATGACAAAGTCACGATGTTAACTGAGTATTATTAGCTGAGGATTTGCAGTAGCAATAGTGCCAATTGATTTGCTCGCAGTGATAGAAATCACCATGAATGATGAAATAGGACTTAATTAAAGCAAATTAGAGTAAAAAATTATGCATGCATATATAACTATCCGTACGCTAATTTATTCCCATTGTTTACCAATACCAACTTAACTTTGTTCTGACATAGAATCCAGGAAAAAAGTTTATCAGCTCAAAATGTTTCATTTCGCTACAGTGGAGAATACCTATTGAATAAAATTTAAAAAAATTAAATAATGAGAGTAGGTGAGATGTCCAGAACCTCTACAATAAGTAGCATATACATCTACAGCGCTGTAATCTTCGAGTACCATTGATAATTCGGTCGCAACTTCTCAAACATCACAACCAGACAGTCCAAATAACTTGACACGCTAATCGGTGACTTTATAACTTGGTTGCAGTGCTACTCATACAACATGCTAAGTAGTTACCTTCGAGTTATATGTATACTAGTCAACATTCGTATCATGGTGTTTTAGCGCTTTGTGTATTATTCCATTGTGGGTGAAATTTATTTGGATAAAGTCTCACAGTGTTATACAGTAATATTTACTGATGCATGCGACCATGTTTCAAGCACAATTGATTATCGCTCATAATCATATTAAGGCACTATTCACACAACTTTCTAACTTCGTTTATATAATTCCATTATTTTTCATTGCTTGATTTGATTGGTAGTAGTATTTTCCATGTTTGCGGTATGAGTGATGAGTCATTCCTATTGCATGTGTTGGGTGTGAACTCAATGAACAAGGATTCAGTAATCGACCTCTTTCTCCGCCTACCTATATTACTTCTTAGAATTTTAACCCTCTTCTATACTATTGTGTGGTTTTGTGTTAATGCAGGCAGTGCGATTACTGAATTCCTTTCTAGATTACTTATCTTCGTAGGATCAATCATTGTAACCTTATATTCTTAAATGTTCCTATGTTCTGATAATGTCATTACTCCTGATCTACTTGTTTGACCTATTTAGTTGACTTAACTCACAGTCATTCCGTGGTATTTTGTAAATTATATTCTTTTGTCTCATTGGGTCAAGCAGGTCTTTTAACCTAAAGAGCTTGTCCTACCTGGGTAAGTATGTAGGTTTAAACGCCACCCTAATTCCTGCTTTATTAAGAATCCTAGGAAGGGCCTCATATGTCCTCTCCTTATATAGCAAAACTGTAGATGCCTTATATTCTCTCTTATTTATATTATCATTACTATTTTCCCCATAATTTTTTATTAGTTTTACATACCGTCTTTTCCATTTTCATCACTAATATTTCAGCGTTCAAAAACATCAATTGACAGTGAAGATAATGAAAAGCCAGCTGCATATCAACCACCAGCTGCAATATCATCCAAAGAAACAAATGATGTAGGTTATGTGTTTTATAGTTTTTTTTCTATTTATTTTCACATATTATTAATTAATTACTGTATAAGGATGGAGGTGCCTTTCATAAGGTGTCTCTGAGCAGATAAATGAAGACTATGTTTAAATGGTTTGAGGTAGTCGGCAGGGAATGCTGCCGGACGTAGGTTTCGCACTGGTTGGCATTCACCAGTCGGCAAGGCACATCTGGATCCTTGGAGCAACTTATACCCTCTTTGAGGTTGGAATCCTCATCACCCAGTGCTACAGTCAGAGGCATTACCGCTGACCTATTCGGGCTCACAATTGACCTCATGTAGGACTGCAATGCTCACTAGGGTTTAACAATCATTTTCAGGCGTTTATTCCTCATTATTGTTGAAGAATGAATTCTATCAGGCGAATCATTCTATTCTATCAATTCAGAGTGTGTATCACGCTAGCCAGTCATTTATCTCAGTGACTGCATTGTAACCTTGACTGATGGAATTCCATCTGTACCGACATCGAGGACTAGATGCATAGTAGTTGTTATTCCTTAGTGATTAGACAATGTAAGTGAAGATCATTCTGGAAAATATTCATATCCACACTTTTTCCCTGTTTAAAAAAATTACAATTTGACTTAGTTTGATTAGGGTTAGGGGAACTGAAAATGTGAATTGAATTTTCGATTTTCCCGTCTATTGATTGGACCGAAGTGCTCGGTCTCAGGTTGACATGTCGGCCTCTTGTGCAGATGCTTCGACGATGTCCGGGCATTTAGTTAGTATACAATTGGTGGATGGTGGCTAGCAGTGGAATCCAGGATGCGCATTTCGTCCTATTTGAGACCGAGCACTTCGGTCCAATCAATCAACGGGAAAATCGAAAATTCAATTCAATAATTAATATGACCCGTTGCACAAGAGGTGGCTCTCGTGGCCCAAGTGGTCTGGTGGATAACGCTTTGGCGTTTGAAACTATGGGTACTGGGTTCGAGCCTCGGTGGGAACGTCATCACTCACTGAGAAATGCAGGTACATCCAGCTGACGAGTCCCAAATAGGACGAAATGCGCTTTATCCTGGATTCCACTGCTAGCCACCATCCACCAATTGAACTGAAAAAGTACTTACAGCTAACAATAAGTCTGGCCTTTAGAATGAGGACTGGGGATACAACGACCTAAACTCATAAATGCCAGTATATGCAGATCGATTTTTCGAAAACGCCACTTAATGATAAAAATTTGAATTATTTAATGAAAATAAGATGTGTAGTCCAGCGAAGAGACTCTTTCCGGCAAATTCAATTTGTGTAGTCGAACAATCACATTTATAAACACTATTTTCTTTTCTCCATGAAACAGGGTAGTAACTAAAGTGATGAGTCGTCACATAGCTTTTAATGTTTGTCAATGCATAAAAGGAGTCGAATAAGTAAGTTTATTAGAGTGGAAGAAGATCAAATGGCCAGGAAGAAATAGTAACAAGAAACACTGGCCGGGAACACACCAACCAAGAACCGATTACTCAACAAATATGAAGGAGAAAATGGAGGTGGATAGGGCATACATTGATGAAACCGTCGTATGACATCGCACTCATTGGAGGCCATTGCTCGAGTGGAATCCCAGTGAGAAGCGACGAGTGGGTTGTGAGTGCCAGGATGACTTGGAGGAGATCGTGTGTTTGGGGAGGAAGAAATGAGAGATTATGAGCAATGGAGGACCCAGCTGAAGAAGACAGCAGAGAATATAATAAAGTGAAGATATGTTGTAGAAGCACTAAGTTCCACTTGGAACCCAAGGGTGCAATAATAATAATAAGATGGAAAATTTAATAACTGATGAGTTGTAATCACTATGTACATAGAAACGAAGGAAAATATAGAATCATGTAAGAGTTCTAAAGAAACACAAGAGTTAGAAAAACAAACAAGCAAACAAAAATCATTTCAGCAGAAATCACAACCAGCTTGTTACCATGATAGCAGACAGAAGTGGTTGAGCAATTTCTTAATTTGTATGCATAGCTCCGGTTTTTCTAATCGAGTTGGCTAAGCCTTCAGCAATGCAAACATTCATCGACCAGTTAGTTGTCCTATTATATTAACCTGTTTTTATGTTTTTCTTATTTATATACACAGAACTCCACTGATCCGCCTAATCCAACTCGAGATCCACATGTTATACAAGAATTAATCAATAGTGTTGACAGTGTCTATTATTCATTGGCATTCGACTCTGGAAAGTATGAAATTGAAGTAAGTTTTAGCATATTTGCATGTATTTAGAAAAAACCTTTCTTCTCCTTCTCCAATATAGATTTTATCACAAATCGGTATCATAGAGAGAATGGTTGAAGACTGGGAGAGCAGTGAACACCTGTTTCGACCTATATTTGAAGTCCTGGTTAGTGCGTACAAGTGGCTTCACCGGGAACTTTCAAATTGATGAGGCCAGCTTCTTGACTATTCAGCCACTTCGGTCAATTCTATCGATTAACGTCCACTGAACCTTGAATTGACCTCGAAAAACCGAAGGTCTGGTATTCAGTTCATCGTGTGGTTAACGTTGTGTGCTGATGAAGAGCCTCTACTAACTAGGACGAAACAACTGTTCAGTGCACCTTTGATTTCTCATGATTCTCTATCTCATGTTGGTTTGTGACAAAGTTCTGTATTAAAATTAGTTGAAAGCCCTACAAAATCCATAATCTGAGTATTTTTCTTTGTGTTTTGAAAGACTGTGGTAGAAGTTGAGTACGACTGGGATTGTTCCCAATGTATGTACAAATTTCAAATTCACAATCTCCAAAATAGTTATCAGTTTGCAATATATATACAGTTCGAGTGCTGAAATTTCACCGTAATTTCCTTTGGAAACCAAGTAATTCTGATCGCAATATGCAATCTGCTTGAGATAGCATAAATGACAATTAAGAAAGCAAGAGAAGTTGCATAAGATTATGTTACTACTGATTGGTTGGGATGAGTAGTTGAATACTATTCATTACCAACCAAAAGTGATTGCTAGCCAGCTATATCGAGGTGACCCAAACACCTGACAGCCTTTCCGCTCGTTTGGGGACGAGGCCATCAGATGTGTATCCGGTTCGATTCAGCTCAGAGAGCCGAATCACGTGAAAGAAACCGATTTCTGCCTGGCTATAGATAAATTTAAAGCGGAAATCCCCTCACCCAATCACCAAGCAGCTGAAAATGCAGAAACATGTTGGCGTCTGCATGCACAGCTGACAATTTAGACACTTTCTACTATGTATTAATCAAATGCTGGTTTGCATGCTTTTTTGAATGATTTCAAATTTGATTTTATCACCTACCGGCGCATCAGTTAGGCTCTTGTAGAAAACTAGGAGGTATTGGTCGACTGTTTCGTTTTAATTCAAGACTCCTGAACAGTTGGCACTCAAGACCTTGCCTAGGATGGAACCAAGAACTTTGAGGTCATGAACAGAACACATTATCATTCATTCAGCCACTAGGACGGAATCCAGTAGTTCTTGAGTCCTAGTCACTGGCAATTTGTGACATATAGCACACCACTGAAGAGTCCTACACTAGGACGAAACGGCTTTCCAGTAAGTAAGTAATCCCTGTCTTTGAATAGTTCTCTAACTGATGTTAGTTAGTGATCGAAATGTAACTTGATATTGTATAGAAGTTGTAAACCATGAGTGTGTGTGTGTGATGGTATTGAAACTAAGTAAACAAAAAGCGGTATATACCAAGGTGAGTAAGTTATCGCCCACGAATAAGGAATTATTATGTGGATTTTTAAAAGAAATGGAGCGCTTAGAAGCTAATCTATTCTGATTTTCACCTTTGTTCGTTCTTGTAAACTTCGGGCATTCGGTGAGACATTGTTTTTGGAGATTCTGATGAAAACTATCGTAACTGACGAGTACACTGGTATTGATTAGAGGGATCGTTGATTTATTTGACAAAATGACGAAATTCATAAACCGTAAATTGAGATTTCAGTTTGTGAAATTAATTCATATTCTGCTTCTTTAGTCTTCGTTTAAACCGTTCTGTATTCTTTTAAATGTCCTCTCGCATTTCTCTCCTTCTCAAGTCAGTCCGTCATTCCCTGTTCAAGATTCTTGTAGAAGATATCTCATACAATATTATTGTCGTTATTGTTCCCTCGGGTTCCTAGTGGAACCTAGGGCTTCAACAGCCCATCTCCTCTTTTTCCCTTTCTCTGAGGTCCTATTCATCTTGCCTAAAGTCTCTTATCATCTCCCTAAATCCCGACCGATAGCTGCTACCTTGACGTGGTGGTCGGACTTGCACATCGCGATGACCCAACAAGCTGCACTGGCTGGAACCTGCAGGTCTTACCATGTCAGGAAGTTTGTTAGGATAGCGATTAGACTAAAAGCAGTTGCCGGAATTGTGTAAGAATCTTTCTTACACTATGCTGGGGGTCTGAGGGCGAAGTCGTACTGCTGGGAAACAGGAGTTTAACAGCAGTGAGGTGTTTCCCTCAGATGACCAGCATACCAGCCAGCTATGCTGTCTCTCCACTCCGGAGAGAGTGGGTTAGAAAAGTCGACCCCAAAAATTGTACATCCCCACTTACCCTACGGTGGTCCGTAACCGGCGGCGAGTTTACTAATAGGGAACCAGTCCCAGAAACCAGTTCATGCAGGGCGTGTGTGACTGGCCTCAAGCAGTCGTCCCTTGGGCTCTGCGGTCACGCGACACTTACCCTCTTTCTCTTTCAGGTACGGGAAGAATCAGTCAACTTCCACGGTGTGGGCAGCGGGGAAGTAACAACCGCACACACATTTCCGAAAGTACACGAAGCCTTCCTGAGCATCATTCTCCTTTACTCAAATCACCTTCCTCATCTTGCTTCTCCTCCTAAACGATCTCCTTCATGTCACTTTCGAACGGCCAACTCAGCGTCTCGATACTTCAATGTGGAGTCAAAGCACCTACTGACATATTACAATATACTACTTATAAATCCTTGCCAGTAGCAGATGTCACACTGTGGCATATTAGAATTCTTTAATTATTAACCAACCGTATACTCTGCACGGTGGAACTATTGACTCTTCTGCATTAGCTATACTAAAACGTTAGGCATCCGTGTTGGACGAAACGTTTTTTCTTCATAAAGCTTCTGTAACTATTTCTAGGTGGAGTCATATCGTAGTCATATCGTGCTGCTGCAGAGTACAGGAAGAAGTAAACTGTCGAGTAGTACTCTAAGAGCGACCCAACCAGTTAATGTATAACGCTCTGTGTGCCTAAGACGTGGCAGTCGGCTCCTTTATCGATTGACACCCCATTTCGCTCAAAACACTCCTTGCTCCTTCCTAATTTTGTCATACTTTAGCTAAGATAACTTGTTGAGAAATTTGGTAGATTTCTTCGAATCATACATTCCAACGACCTGAATCGATGAAGCTCCCTTCACATTCTCATTGTATATCAGTTAATGAGCTGTTGGAAGTCAAGGTAAACTGAACGGATACTTCTCTATTCGTTTTAAGTCTTCAGTTATGCATATAACTGACTCAATACGCCTAGCGCGTATAACAAATACAGATTTCACAAGAAACCTCTAAAATGCTAACTAACAAGATTAACATTTCCCAACTTTCTTCAGTCCGCGATGGTGGATGATGACAATCGATATTGAGGCATATCTTTTAATTGATGCTTGTAATGAACTTCAGGTCTGAATCGTCTGAACAGCTGGTTATTCACTGGGAAACAATACCTTACTTTGCCGATAAGGTCCCACCACTACTATAACAACAATCGGCTGACCGATCATTTTTCAACTGATCTTTAACCGACTTAGTTTAATACATTTTCGACCAACTCTAAAAGGGTTGAAAATTGAGGTATAACAATTTTTATTTTAGTGGTTAATCAATATGTATTGATTGATTTTATTTGTATTGATTGATTTTATTTTTACTGATCCCATTTTGAAATATCTGATTTTTCTTTGATTGCATTTCTTAGAATACTAACTAATATGTATATTGACTATTATGTCGATGAAATCCACATAAAGATTCACAGTAAAATTCGATAATGTTTTAAATTTTCGAACAATTGGTTAAATATACACTAAATTTGAGTTGAAGATTTTATGTAGTCTAGTTTTTTTGTGGGGCGTAACTAATTTTTCAGATTATTTTCGAATTACATATTGTAAAATACACTATGCAGACATAGTTTATTGACTTAAGCACAGTGGGATTTGAGCCAGCAGGTCTTTGGTTTTGAAACCCACTTCAACGTGGCTGGGAAACTGGCTAGTAGCAGAAACCCCCATTACACATTAAGCGTGGCGTATGGCCTGGAACGCTTCGGTGGTTCAGTGATAGCATGGTCGTCAACCACGGAGGTTGTCCTGGGTTCGATTCCTGGCCGACGCACTCCTAAACCTCACGAAGCTGGTAGTAAGGCTAGCAAAGAGGAAAGGTTGGGCATGAGACTAGCAATCCCACTCACTAAAAATAAAACCACTGCTATCCAGGCTTTCAAACTCTAGCTTGAAGCTTAGAATATGAAAAATCTCTTCTGGGAACTGAGAACTAACAAAAATATTCGTTTTGCAAGTTTACTTCAAAGCAGTACAGCTATTTATATAGTTTCCTAAAATGGTCAGTAGTGTGCCTACGGAAGGCCAACTGGCCATATCAGTTGGTAACAAAATACACAGGAAATTGCTGGCAGACCGAGGAAAATAATAAATAACGTAATCTAAAAGCAGCAAGTAGTTAGTATCGCTCAGGAATGATCATTCTTCAAACTGACAGAGCCTGGCAAAATGAACACATTAAAAAAGTAAGAGATTCAGAATATTTGTAAAGTATATTTTAAATGTAGAAGCTTGAAAGGAAGTAATATCAAGAGGGAAAAGCTCGAGTGAATATGGAATCGATTACCAAATTATTGTATTAGTTGACAAAAACAAGAGGAGTTTAGGGCCCCGGTAGTAAAAGGGATTGGATAAACCGCTTCAGTAGACACGGTCCAGAATTTTCTTTGTGTGTAACAAAAGCTTCTGCTCTGAAGTGAAGATACAACTGCAAACCCGGTGAACGATTTCGTCTTACTGTATACATCACTTTGAAAGATTTTTCTAATGACGCGGAACGATTTGTAAGAACAAGTTATTCAAGAATTGAACTATTTGTATAATAGAGTCAGTAATAATGAAGTTAGGCGTCGAGTGCTATGTAAGGTTATGAATCTACATCGATTAAGATGGATAGGATGCATATGTTACGCATGCCTAGTCATCGTCTTCCTCGACGTGGAATGTTAGCTGACATAGGACCAGGTTGAAGAAGAGCTAATAGCGGTAGGACCAAAACTTGGAATCATCAACCCATGAAATCTTTAGTAGTTATTTTGAGTCATCTAAGATTCTTGGTTGGCGTTCTCAGGATTCTAAGTTCCAATGGCTGAAGAAAGTTGTTGAAAGCAGTCAGTCAGTCAATCATTTGGGGCAATATTCTGTAGATTGCGAAGATATTTGTCTCAAAAAAGGGATGTACACAGTATTTCGGAAGGAAGGAATGCCACTTTTGTTATCTTTTAACAAGAAATGTCCTTTTTGGCGTCTTGACCGCATCGTACTGGTACACCCGCTGTGTTCTACTTGGCTCCACAGGTTTAAGTGAATCGATATATGCATGCGTATGTCGCCAACAGTGGATTATTGTCTTTGACGTTTTGATGAGTAAGATATTGGATGGAGAAGGTGAGATGTCAAGATACGACGAAGAATGTTTTCCGAATTGGTCTCGATAATCTGGCTCGAAAATTTCAACTGTTGTGTCACTTTTGAATTTCAGGTTTACAACTAACTTATTCTTTTTTGTATTTCTATCCATCTTATTGCCATGCACTCTGTCCCAGAGAATGTGCAACGGTAGGAGACAGGAGCTTCGCTCTATACTGAAGATCGGATGGCCGGAAAGAATCACCAACAAGAAATTATGGGAACAAACAAAGCAAGAACCAATCGCCCAACAAATATGCAGGAGAAAGTGGAGATGGATCGGACACTTGCTGAGGAGACCGCTGGGTGACATTGCGCGTCAAGCCCTCGAGTGGAACCAGGCCGAAAGGGAAGCGGCGTGTGGGACGTCAGTGCAAGGGTGATATGGAGGAGATCGTGTGAAGAGGAGGTGAAAGAATATGGACTAACATGGATGCAGGCGAAAAGTACAGCAGAAGACAGAAGCAAACGGAGACGTGCAGTTGAAGCCCTATGTTCCACTAGGAACCCAAGGGAGCAATAATAATAATAATAGGAGACAGGAGACTTGGTAAAGGAACGTACATCTGGGATTTAGTATATTTATATATAGCGAAATTACACCTTATCTTCAGACCATCATTTGCACAAATCTTCCGTCTTGTGGTACTTTTGTCCTTCGTATTGTGTTTCTTTGTATTCCTTTTCATGTCTTCCATTTCTTTCCGCAACTCCAAATCATTTGCTTTCTTTAGTGTCAAGCCTATCTCTCTACTATTTTATACTATCATGCCGACAAACGTCTCTTTATATACTACTAAAAAATCTTATCAGTAGCACACGCCTCGAATATATCATGAACTATTTGATGTTGAAGTTCATAATTGTTCTTTATGATAGCACAATGATTAAAAATATTACGAATATTCTTTATTCTCTTTTTAGAATGTTGCCGGTCCTAATTGTCGTGAATTAGCTAAACTGAAGTTACGCCTTTTAGCATTAGATCGTCAAAATAAAGCTGTCTCAAGACGTGTTTCTGAATTAGTTCTAGAGAAACATCCACGTTATGAAGCTGAATTGAAAGGTGTACTATCTCTACAATCGGATAACTGGGAAACTCTGTGTATGTGTCGACAAATCAGAAGGTAATTGTGAGGGTGTAATATTCATTTTTGGTCAAAGGAAGGTATAATAGTTAAGGAAGTCTTTTTTATTGGTTATGCGGTATCGACAGTGAAATAGTCGAGGTGCAAACTTGTCTTACTCCCCTTCTAAGTGCAAATTTTATTACTTCACAACTTATTGATGCTTTTATGCTTTTTGCTCTGATAAGGTGGTACTTCAACGTATCGTGGAGAAGATTTCTATCTCTGATGGATGATGAGCTGAATGGTTTACTTCTGTAGCTTTCATTATCTCCCTAAATAACATCCTCACAGCATAATTCAACTTGAAGTGGGCTCTTTGGTAACCTTGAAGGTGGTTGGTTGTTCAAGGTTACCTGAAGAGACAACTAATAAACTCGCGGAGAATTTTTGAAAAAACTCACTTCAAAATGAATTATGCGCTGAGGATGTTGTTTATTAAGATAATGAAAGCTTCTCAACTAAACCATCCAGCTCAGAAAACACAATGTCACCAAACTTTCAACGTATCTCATCAGCCTTGGCTGACTGACTGACAGAAATGCAACATGGAGTCAAATAGATCTGTACTTTCTTTCTCAACTTACTTTGCTTAATAACGTTATGAAAATTAAATTCACAGTTTGCAAATGACATTCAGTTTGAGGTGAAATTTTACTACAGTTTCCTTTGAAAGTCGAAATTTTTTAGATTACAATATGTTTTCTACTCACTTGATACCATAAATGGCAGTCACTGGGGCAAGCAGTCAGATGTCAACCCTCACATCAATCAGTAGTGCTTTTTGGACAGATTGAAGTGATCTGACCACCTGATCGCCATTTCGCCCGCACACTGTTCACTCCCAAATAAATTACACATTTGTTCGTCGTGGAAATCACCTTTGTGTATGACTGATGAGGTCTATTGGTTGTAGTGGTTGGTTTTCGATTCCTATAACACTCAGTGGTATGTACTATTATTATTATTATTATTCCGTTGGGTTCCGAGTAGAACATAGTGTTTCAACAGTAAATCACTTTATCATATTCTTCATGGTCCTCTTGAGTTGGCCCCACGATTGCTCATAATCTTTCATCTCCTTGTGTGATCTCCTCCATGTCAACCTCGGATCTATTCCCACATTGTCTTTTCCCATTCGGGTTCTACTCGAGTGATGACCTGGTGTGCGATGTCATTCGACGGCTTTGTTAGCGTTTGTCCGATCCATCTCCATTCCCTTTTGCATATTTTTTGAGCAATAGTTTGTTGGTTGGTTCGAACCCAGAGTCGGTGGCACAGTGTTTAGGACTCTCGCCGACCATGTACATGATCCGAGGTTCGATGCCCTGCCGACGCACACCTGATATCTATGGTCGACCTGCAAAATTTGGGCTACCGATATCACATGCTGAAAATTCCATACTTGTACCAAAAATACAGTGTGGAATCAAGCTGTAATCAAAAATTAATAAAAATGTTTGTTGCTAATTCTTTCTAGTCAGCCATTTAATCTTGAGTATAGAGCCAACGAAGTAGGCAGCTATTGATAAAAATCTTCAGCCAGTTGTAAACGCTTTTCGTGATGCTTCAAGTTCCTGACCCACGTAGAAGAATTGACCTAACTTTGGTGTTGAAAATCTGAATTTAGTTCTTTTTGCTGAGTGCAGAAGATTTCCAAACTGATTTCTGAATAATGAGACCCCTCTCTCCTTTTTGATGCTGGTTTCGACATACTCATCCGTGTCGACTGTCTGTAGCTGCAACCATACTGCCTAGGTTAGTGAAGGGAGTAAAGTCTTTCAAATTTCTTCCGTTTATAGTGGTTGGTGCTGGTTTTTGTTGCTCTGCCTGTTGGTTGGTTATATTCATGACCTCCATCTTCTTTATGCTCACCTGGAGTTCTGTCTTCTCCGCCTGCCTCTTCAGCCAATTCCCTCGTTTTTGCCTTCAAGTCTTCGGTTTGCGTGACATTGAGCATAAATTATCTGCAAAATCCACATCTTCTAGAGTCTTCTTATTGCTAGTCCAGAGAATTGCTGTCTCCTCGCTCCCCACAATTTGACGCATAATCCAGTCCACCATAATTAGGAGTATCATCGATGATAGTAGACAGCCTTGTCTTACTCCTGCATTCACTTCCAACGCCTCGCTGAGTTTTCCGTTGTGGATCACCTAGCACGTGGCAAGCATTGTCATGTAGCTGTTGAATGAGGTTGATAAAGATTTGGGTCATGGAGTATTGTTGAAATTGCTTCCAAATTACTTCTTGGTCGACGCTGTCGAAGGCCTTTTCAAAGTCGATGGAGTTAAGGTACAGGTTTGACTGCCATTTTATGCTTTGTTCGGTGATCATGCGTATTTTTCAATTTGATCAGCACAAGATTTACCTTTCCAAGCTGGTGGAGTTCTGTATCCAGTGCATCTTTTATTATTTGCAGGATGACGCGACTTAGTATTTTACTTGACATGGAAAAAAGTATGATTATTCATGCTTTGAGTTCCGAATGGAACATAGGACTTCTATGGCACACCCGCATTTCATTCAATTTCCTGCTATCATTTCCACCTGGCTCCACAACTGTTCACAAGCTGTTATTTTATCTTCTTATAGTCTTCATGTCACCCTGGGATTCACTTCCAACTCTTCGTTTCCTATTGAGATTCCACTTGTGGGCCTGGCAATATGGTGTTATTACTCCAGTAGTCTGCTTAGTGTATGTCTAGTATATCTCCATTTTCTCTCCCACACTTTGTTGACTAGTTCTTTACCAAAGTTATTTGTTGCTTATCTTTTATCTCCGACCATCTAATCTGTGAAGTCGTGAGAAGCAGACATCTTCTGATGAAAATCTTCAGTGTGGCCTGTTTGAAATGCTATTGGTGATGTGTAAAATTCTTGAACCATGTAACAACTATGACTTGACACAAGTGCCTAGAATTCTGATCTTGTTCTTTTTACAAAGTGCTACTGATCTCCTTATCGATTTCAGAGTAATGAACTTTTCTCATGCATATATATATATATATATAAGTCTATTTCACATCATTGTTTTTTATATTTTTTTTATCTTCTATCAGTTCATTAAAACAAGCTGATGAATCCTTAGTCATATCTCGATTAATTGTACTACGTAATTATCGTAGACAAATAAGATTACAACAAACATTAAATGTTTTATTTCAACTACGGAATTTACAGAATAACGTTCATAAACTCGATACACTCATTAAGGTAAGTCACATTGAATGGCTGTGAAACAAATCGTACTTTTCTCTAATACTTACAGCAAATGACTTCCCCCTACTGTTCATTATTGAGTAGAGTAGTCTTTGAGTCTTTAATTTTTAAAGTCTTGTTATTTGTTTTCTTTAGTGTATCCATGTTCATTCATGTATGTAATTCATAGTGATGTTGTGATAGGAAGTTTGCTATCGTTAACAATTTATACTTTATAATGTTTTTTAAACGTGTGTGCATGAATTGGCTTTCTTTGGATAAGAATAAAAATCAATTTTATTTAGTTTTTGGTTGTTTTGCTTGTTTATTTCTTCTTCTCTCCTTCCTTTTCTGATGATTTTTTTTTGTATCTTTGTTCACTGAATGCTTGAAGTATGTGATTAACTTGCGATTATCGCGCTTTCTGCGGAATTGCTTCCACCTGTTCTTAACAACACCCTTCCGGATAGCACGTGCTTTAAAAGACCAATATACCTAGCTTCATAGAAGTGGATGAACTCGTACATATAAGCACGTGGAGTTAGTCAAGTGTAGGTTATTAGAAAGTGCGTCAGTGGGTTCACCGGTAGAATGCTCGCCCACGATGCACGTGGTTCGAGGCTTGATTCCTAGCCGGCACATAACCCTACTTCCTTTAGTCGGTTCTAAGACCGACAAAGAAGGAAGTTGGCAGTGAGGCTAGCAACTTCACCTCTTAAAAAAGACACTACTGCTTCTGAAACTTCAGAGCTCATGCTTTAAGCCCAATGTTCTACTGGGAAAGTATTGGCTGACTGAGAAATACTAGTCTGATAAATGTAGAGAATTTTCCATGCGAATAGATTATATAGTACAGTTAAGTACATGTGTGTCTGTGGTTCAGTGGCGGAATGTCCGCCAAAAACTTGTATGGTCTGGGGCTCGATTCCCGGCCGGTGCTCTCCTAAACCTTGACTGATTAGTTTCATTGATAGTTTGTTTCATTTCATTGATTGTATGAGGGTTAAGATACTGCCCGGGTGCCCAGACCAAGGCAGGTAGTTGTCTTAAGAGACCACCCCTCGAGCCTTTGACTATGAGTCTAATCCTCAAGGCAGCGGAGCAGCTGGTGACCAATGCAGGTTCATACACCATTGGATCCATATACCCCATAGTAACTGCTTTTGGTCTAACCGCTATCCAGACAACCTTCCTGACATGGTAGGACCTACCGAAACATAAGTTCCAGTCAGTGTAGCTTAGTGAGTCACTACGGTATTCAAGCCCGACCACCATGAAAAGGTAGCAGTTGTCCTCCGGCAAACCTTGCCTAGTTTGATTGTTGATAGTTAGCCCGGAAAAGACGGAAGGTTAGGTATGTGGCTAGCAACGCCATCACCCCGTGTAAACCATACCACCGCTAGTGAGACGTAAAATCTTGAAACCTTACTTTCCTTTTAGAGCTCAAAGCGATAAATATATTGAGCAAATAATTGTAACGTAGGTGATTAGAATTTCGCAAAACTGTCACTCACTTAAACAGTCTTCAGTAGTTTATATGTGATTGATATTCACTGTTTTATGGCTTACCTATACTCGTTAGCAGCTTCGTTTGTACGTAGATTTACTGAATTAGAATAACTTACTAAATAGTAGTAATTGTTTTCACGTCTTTTTTTAAACTGCGCGTATCTAGTGTTATATGTTTGATGTTTCATTGGAGACTTTAAGCTTATTGTTTCACAAATCTGTAGTTAGGATAATTCGGTAAATATAACTTATGTTGTTTTAGGTATATAAGGCTTGTTATTACTTTCCTTCTGTTCTAATTCACAAGTTTAATTGGACTAATGCTGGATTTTTATGAAGAAAGAGCTTCAATATAGTAGGTTTAATTCAGATATTATTGTAAGGTAGAAAGTATCGGTTGATTAGTTGGTTGGTTGGTTGGTTTGCTGTTATTTAGGAATTTTTATCAGTAGTTGAGTTCAACTCTAGTTAGAAATTTCATCGAGATCCGATTGTATTTATATAGTCATTGGGAACCATGTGGCATTGGACAGCTATTTTATCCCAATTCGCAACTATTCAGCAGAGTACATCCATTATCCTACAAGGGGTCGAATCAAGGACCTTGAGGTAACATGCTTACCCCTTTGACCATTAAGCCTGAGGATTTGAATCTTCCATCGTATGAATTTTAACGTCTTTCAGCAGTTTGGAGATGTTGTGGGTGCATGCTGATGAAGAGTTTCAAACCGGTCTGAAACAGCTATCTAGCACTTCTTGGTTTTCAATAACTGACTGACTAACTGATGTCAATTTATAAAGAAATTTACGTTGAAATTATTCAGATTCCTCACAAACCCACAATTTAATTTCCTGATTAGCTAGTTTACTATCATTCGACTTAATTCGAGACTGGTGGATATCATTTTTAATTTCATAAATGTATATTCTTTCCCAATACTCCTCATTTCTCGTCGGTGGTTCAAAGGTAGTTTGCTGATCAGCAACACAGGAGCTCCGTATCTGACTCCTAAATCTTGCTTAGCTGGTGGTAGGCTAAGAAAAGAGCGAAGGTTAGGTAGGTGGTTAGCAGCCGCGCCTTTTGAGAAACAACACAACTGATAATCAAACTGCAAAGCCTGACGGCCTGTGTTCCATACGTAAAGTAAGGGATGAAAACAGTTTTGGGTTATTAGAATTCCGTAATGAGGCAATGTTTTGCGTTGAGATAAACACTTACTTTGCGTTAGAACTCATACCAGGCGGCCTAAGAATGACAAATAAGACCTTCTACTAACTGAGCATAAGAACCAATCACTATTCCAAGTTTAAATTTGACGTGAGTAACCGTAAATTCCTTTCATATACTTTGAGGCTGAAAGAGGTATCATCATTTGTTCATTATGGTTTTTGTGAACACATTAGATGTTCAGCCAGATCTTCTCATACTGACTCTAATCCCAATGAATTAGGGACGTCAAAGTCTATTAAAACTTCGTTGAATCATCGAGGTTGGTCTAAGTTTGGTACACCGAGGTGGTGTAATTGAATGGTGTTAAAAGTTTGGACGATAAGCTTCATCGCTTTGTGCTTTAAAGTGTGCCATTCTTAGATAGTTAGACAAAAACAGATCATCTAGTGTTTCGCTTATTCAGTGTGGTTAGATTTTGAATACGAAGGCAGATATCTGTCCTGGTGATGATAGTGAACGTAATGACTACAGGATCAGAGACCTGAGTGATTACAGTGAAAGTAAGACTTAATTCTTGATTGGATTTCGTAATTTACTCGGTTGAATGCAGTACTAATAATTACAAGACTAGTGTTTCTAATCGCTTTATGAAGTTGTTTTCTAATCCTTACTTCTTTCTGGCATATGTGTAAAGCTACCTCGTATAGCTTAAACATCATTGTGTAGATGTGGCTTATTGGCTTAAACAATCTACTTCCAGTCAATTTGTCTTTGAATTTAACCATTGTTTGTTTTTTATCACCAGCTGGAACACAATAAATTCGACTTGCAACCTGGTGTGTCTGTGAATCGGGCGTAGCATGTTCGCCAACAACAACACTGACAGTCTGGGATTCGATTCCCAGCTGACGCACTCCTAAACCTTACCTAGGCAGTAGTAAATCCGGCAATGAGGGATGGTGAGGCATGAGGCTGACAACCTCATCCTGTAAAAATAACACCACCTCTGCTGAAACTTCAGTGCTGCAATTTGAAGTCCTGCGTGCCACTCAGAAGGAATGAAAAAGAAGCAACTGTATGCACAAGAAGTCTGACTGAATTATAATAATAACAACAACAACAACCAACAGTATATTATTTCCCTAAAATATTTATTTGTTTTTTTAGATTCTTACTGTCTGTTATTATTGTGTCATTTTCAGCAAGGTGAATTTTACGATGCTATTCGGTTATATCGTGAAAGCCTTGTCCTACTGGAGGATTTTCGTTCCTACCGATGCATCGAGTAAGTTTTTTGTATGTGCTTCACGGTAGTCTGTGAACTTAGATATTTGATCCTATAGGTTTTTGCAACACTAAGCCTGATAATTTCCTCCTCGATAATCAATCCCGGAAGCGAAGTATTGAGTTTAAAAATTGTTTGAAGGCTGCATGAATGCTGAAGTGTTGATTGCTGATGAAATCTTTCGCATGGATACAAAATGCTCTTATGGGATTTGCCACCTAACGTCATTTCTAGAGCATAGAAAATCAAAACAAGTGATTCAGCGAAGAGACTCTTTTCAACGAATTTATCATCAAGCTGTACAATCGTATATATATGGTTTTTAAGAAATTATATCCGGTGAGGGAATCGGATCATAGGTGTGAATGCATGAAATAATAATAATAGTGGTATGAAGCGCAATTAGAAAACTAAAATGTTTATGATTTTAATCATAGTTGAATGTCAAGTGGCAAAGCAAATTAATGTCATATATAGAATAATTCATAGGATCGATAGAACTTGAAAAAGGGTGTGCAATTATGCGATTAGTTGACAAATCGAATAAAATGAAAACTTTCTATAGTTTGGTTTGTAAGGATTAGTTATGTTTTACGAGTTGATCACGGATTGATATCAGTTAGAGAACCATTGAAAACCAGGGAGTACTGGACAGCTGCTGTTTCATCCTAGTTTGGGAATCATCGGCAGTACGCACCCACTGGGTTTCGAACCCAGGACCTTCCGGTTACAAGGCAAGCTCGTATACCATTCAGCCACTGGGACCCGATTCAATGGCTCGTGAATTCTAACTTCTACCAATTCGTGATTTAGCGCGACCCCAACCATCTGATGCTCGCTAGTGACTTGCTACAGGTTGGAGTTTCCTGAGTTCTAGTGAGAAGTCGTGACCAGTGAGGTCCAATTAGATGTCACGTGTGTGGATGGATGTCCCACCAACGACAATGGTTGGGGTCGCGCTAAATCACGAATTGGTAGAAGTTAGAATTCACGAGCCATTGAATCGGGTCCCAGTGGCTGAATGGTATACGAGCTTGCCTTGTAACCGGAAGGTCCTGGGTTCGAAACCCAGTGGGTGCGTACTGCCGATGATTCCCAAACTAGGATGAAACAGCAGCTGTCCAGTACTCCCTGGTTTTCAATGGTTCTCTAACTGATATCAATCCGTGATCAACTCGTAAAATGAAAACGTTACGTAATATTGTGTGAAATTTGATAGCATAGAATTTAATGTTGCAAAACAAAATTGATTTAGAATGTTAAGTGAGACAAGTGAAATAATACCGGGGACAGTTCAAAATGAGAATAGTAATAGTAGCAATTGACGTAATAAAAGATGAGTATACAAAGTGAATAGACAAAATGTAAAAATTGAAAATTGGTAGAGCCAAAATATGATTAGGGATTACCATACTTTAGCATAGAGGGATAAAGACCAGGAAAGTTATGGGAGGGGTTGAACGAACTTTTTCTGTACACAGAGATCTGGCTTTTCTGTTTTGATAGCCAAAGCTTCAGGAATACAGATGAGTGGGGTACGTAGTGATTTGGGAAAATTGCTTTTCACCTTGTAGATGACTTTAGTGATGGAAGCTATAGAGATAGGGTGATCATTATCGACCGGATTTTCAATGATCGCGCTTCTTATTGCCCCACTTCCACCACCTCTTCAGAACCAGCATGTAGGATAGTGTTCTTGTTCCCTCTTGGACAAAACTCGAGTCGAACGATCGATATGCTTAGCTCCACACAAGATGTCCGGCTGTCGACCATAGGCTATGTGTGCCTCACTGCAGCTTATTATGTTATTTCTTGTAACTGTGAGACATGGATATTGTAAGTGGGTTAAATGAGAAGGCTAGCTGTCTATAACCTCAGATGATTGCGTTCTAAAATAATATAATATGGTGAGTAATATTTGAGGTTAGGTGTAGGGTAGTATCGCGGAAGGAAAATCAAGGGATGAGGTTGTGAATCTACATTGATTGAGATGGCTAGGGTATGCATTAGACATTCTAGTCATCTCCTTCCTAGACGAGCAGTGTTAGCTGACATAGGGTTCGGGTTGGGAAAGAGTTACGGGTGGTTTAATCGAAGCATGGCATCAATTCATGAAGTCTTTGATTGTTAGTTTGAGTCATGTACAGAGGTGTATGCCGCTTGGTTGGGGTCTTCGAGATACTAAGAACCAATGGGGGGAGACTATTGATAATATATATGGTTAAAATCATCTTCAATAGTGTAGATGCATTCACTCTGTCACTTCCCAGATTCACTGAACCCTCATGATTTCCCATTTCGCTATTCTTCCTTTCATACGATTCTGCTCATCATGGTTCTTTTGAATTCTTACTCTTTTTCGCTACTTTGTGTGCTATCTGGATTGTGGCGACTTGAACTGTTGCACTTCAGTGAAAATTCCTGCAGTGAAATTCAGTCAGTCATCACGCGTGCTCAAGTAGAGTTTTGATCGACTTTAATTATTATTATCAAATTTTAAATGAATGCAGATTTTGCTATGTCTGTAGTTTTATTGACGCTTCGGTTTTTGATAGTTTGTGTAGTTTCAGTTGATTAGTGACGATGTGGCTCATTGGGGTTTGAATCCCTCTGACTTTACCAATCACAGCCTAGGAAGCTGAATAAGCACCACCAGCTTTTACGCAATAAGTGTGGCGCAAGGCCTGAGACGTTTTATCACCTGATTAGTGAGAACAGTTTTCTTTCCAAACCTAAAGTAAACTGTGTCCATACCAGAAGATGATACCAGCCAGTTTGCCAACTGAGCTAAAGTTGGTAGAGCGCTGTTCGAACACAAGACCCATTAGCAAAATGTCGAGTCTCTAAGCCATTAAGTCACGTCTTCACTTGAAATGCAATGAAAGATATTAATATTTTGATCACGGATTGGTGTCAGTTAGAGAACCATTAAAAACCAACCAAGTAGTACTGGACAGCTGTTTCATCCCAGTTTAGGTCTCCTCATCACAGTGCACACAGATGATCCGACGCGGCATCGAACTTAAAACCTTCAGCTTGCGATGACCATCGACCCACTGGGACGGAATCCAGTGGCCCTTGAACTTCAACTAGAGTGACACGGTTGTTCAGTACTCCATGGTTTTAAAATATTCTCTAACTGATATCAATACGTGTTCAAACTTCAAACCAATCAAACCCTTACATACTAACACTTGAAAGATTCCTTCATCATTTAATTCACCATACTGTCAACCACCCCCCCCCCCCCGACGATCACAGTTTTGTTCTTGTTGTTATTGCTGCTGATGTTCTTTTTTTTTTCTTTCATAATCTTCTTCCTTCAAAAAAGACCAATTCACGTCAAACTGAAAGCATCGAACTGCGTATTGATGAGAAATTGGATTCAGAGTTACAACGAAGCTGTGAACATTTCGATGATAAAGCATATTCAACTGTACAACGTGCTTTTGAGTAGGTCATTGTGTTTGTCTTTTAAAATAATATTTTTTCAATAGTTGTAAATATGTATATATTTAAATAATCAACAAAGGCAGAAGGATATCTTTAGACTGTAAGTATCTTAATACTTCACTTGTGAAATGGTCGGATAGTGTTGGCTGGTTGCGCAAACTAGAAAACTTAGTGTTATCCGCCCACAGTACTTTGATAAAGGACAGTGTATGAATGGTTACCCCCCCACTCCCTCGAGGGCTGTTCTCACACTGAGAAGACATCGAGAACAGATTTGGATGGAAAGAGTTTTTTCTCCAGGGAAAAGTCAGATGATCGAAAAACACAGTAGTTGTAGTAGTGTGTGAATATAATTATTGTACATAACCTCTAATCCTCAAGTTTATTAAGTGAAAAAAACAACAACTGTGTTTTGCTTGATTAGCAATGCATCATAACTGCGGAACACACTGGTTTTTGGCAGCAGAGTTGTTTATTTGATGAAATGATATACTGCAGTTGCGAAATACAGAAACTTTACATTCAATCTGAAATTTTTGCTTACAAACGTGTTACTCCTATTCTCGTTTCTTTGTCTTCCACCTCTTGTATTGTTCTACATGGACCTCATTTCACCTCTTTGCCATTTAATCTGTTGCTCCGGTATTCGAAATTCTCCTGGTTGATAACAAACATAATATTATATTATTATTACGCCGGGTTCCTAGTAGAATATAAGGCCTTAGCAGCCCATCTGCATTTCATCCTCTTCCCTGCGGTTATCTAGCTGCTTCCATGGTTGCACAGAAGCCTTCGTCTGCTCTTCACTCGATTGACTCACTCTCGGACCCAAGTTCAAATCAACTCTCGCCATTCGGTTGCACTCAAGGTTATGCCTTGTGGGAAGTGTCAACCAACAGTCTCCTCAGTGTGTATCCGTTCCATCTCCTTTTCCTTCAGCATTTGTTAGGCAATAGGGTTTTTGATTGTTGATTCGTTTCCGGATTTGCTTCCTATTAATCCTTTCTCATCATCTGATCTTCAATATCCAGTGAGGAGAATCTTGGAAATTCTTTTCTCTGAACGATATGGAAGCACTGACTCAACATTGGTGTTGAAAATCTGATTCTTATTGTTTATGTTGCACAACATACTACTTCTCAATCACTATCAGCTGCTTACATCTCAGTGCCGATGAGTGTTCAAAGAAATAATCTTTGTTGGTATTAGATGGTTGGAGGCAATCGGCAGGAAGCCCAACCTTGGGCCTAGGTTTCTTGCTAATTGGCAGTCACCATTCGGCAAGGTGTATCTGCAACCTCGAAGGAACTCATTTCCCTTCTGAGATTCGAACCCGCATCACCCGCAACTAGACACATTACACTATTTACTGACTAGTGTCCAATCAAAAATATCTAATACAGTCCTACAGGAGGTCAATCGCGAGCCTGAATACCTCACTGGTAGTGGCTCTCACTACAGCACTGCGTGACGCTAGTTTGAACCTCAGAGCGAATATGTGTTCCTTCGAGGTTTCAGATACGCCTTGCTTACTGGTGAGTGTCAACTAGCGCGAAACATAGGTCCAAGCTAGGCTTTGTGCCGATTGCCTTCAAACCATCTAATACCAACAATTCACAGTGCACCGTGACGGCTAGCCACCAAGCATGGTGGTCACATTGCAAACTTGACTGATAGAATTCAGTCTCTACCGAATATAGGACTTCATGCATTTACCCCCCATTGATAAATTTGAATAAAGCAAGAACAACAATGGTTTGTGCAGAATAATGTGGTACCATCATTTATTTTGTCGGCTTCTCATCAGTTGCTTATAGCCCATATAAATTATGAGGTTTACTGTTATGTACTGGTCGAGTAATTAATAGTCCTGACGCAAGAAGGCGGAAATCAGACAACCACCAGGTTTACGATAATACTTGTATTTTTCAAACACAAGGAAAAATCAATGTCACACAAATGTGTGCGTGAAATAGTATGAATGTCCGAACAAGTGTGTCAACACAAGTGTATGAGCGAATGGTCAAAAATGAACGAATCAATAGGCAGTCTTAACATGATTGTTAATTATGATGGAATATCGATCCATATATACATAGCAAAATATATCAGACTGTCAAACAAACACACATATTATATGGATACATATCACCTCCCCTTTTGAGAAGATTGATGATTAGTAGGGTGTTTTCTTGGGATTTATCTGGAACCGTTGAGCTTGTTGTTGACGTCTGTCACTTCGTCTGCCTGTTGGGTTTTCGGCTTCGGCTTCGTCCGGAATTGTCTGACATTTTATGTTTCTTGGCTGCATTGCATAGAGAATTTAGTGGGACATCAGCCAGATGTAAACGATCGAACCAATCAAGTCCCAAAAGATTTAAATCACTCTTGGTGACGTAGCAAATTCCTGTGAATTTGATGTTATGGAATGAAACAGAACATTTGAGTTCACCAATTAGTTTGAGCCGCCCACCACAGGCGTTGACAAGAGTCTGGGAAGTATTTCCGATTGGTGGTCTGCCAATATTATTCCAAAGTTTTTCTGATATAACAGTAATATCAGAGGCGGTATCTAGCTGCAGACGTGCATCATGACCATTCATCTGAAGATCAAGATATTTCCCCATATCTGGTATTGTGGCTTGATAGGTTACGACTAGACTCATTGACCTTTTTGAGGATTTAGGACCGACAGTTTGTCGAGCTTTCGCTGGATTTTGACATCTGGGTTTGCGTGGCTGACAAAAACCATTTTTATGACCGATGACTTTGCACTTGCTGCAACGATGATTTTTGTATGGGCAAGACTTTACAAAGTGCCACGCGCCACAATGCCAGCATGGTGATGGTGGGGTCTTCTTTGCAGTATTTTGTGAAGTTGGACGAGTATGTGTAGGCTTTCGTGGAACATTAGAAGAAGGTGGGTCAGGAGTGGATGATGAGAGATTTTTGCTCTTTCGTAATGCATGAATATCAGAGCTTCTCGAGAGGTGAGTAATATGATGAGTAACTAATAAAATTAGGTAATGATGTGCTGAGTTCAACTCACGCCATAGAAACAAGAGACAAGCAAAATTACAGATTATAAAAAGGGGGTGAGTTTAAAGACAAAGATTACGCAATCAGATGAGAGAATAAAGACATCCAGTTACCAGGTGGGCAAAGAAACACTAATAACTGCTTCTTTCTGAACACATAAATCTGGTTTCAAACGTTTGAGGGAAATTGATTCGGCAAACTTGAGGAGAATGGAGCTCCTTTGTCTATTGATAATTTAAAGGGATTTCTCGGTTTCCACCGTATGACCCGTATCGAGGAGATGTCTGGTAATAGAGCTACTATAAGAGTTTTTCCCTTGAGACGTAGGCTTTTCGGCACATGTTCAGAAAATCGGAGGTGTTCCCTTCTTTCTGTTTTCCCAATGTAACTGCTTCCTCAGATGTTTACAAATTTACGTCATTTCAGGAGCCTGCTGTAGCATATACGCAATATTTTAGTAAAGCAGCATTTCCATATTAGTTTGTTTATTAGATGTATCACACAGTGAAACAGTATTGTATATTGGATGACGTTTCGAACACAATTTATTGTTCATAATCGTATCAATTGTGGTCACACACTCTCAAAGTCGTGTGACCACAATTAATATGATTATGAACAATAAATTGTGTTCGAAACGTCATCCAGTAGACAGTAATACTGTTTTACTGTGTTAATACATCTAATAAACAAACTAATATGGAATTCAAGTGTTGGTTTGTAGGGATTTGATTGGTTTCAGGATTTCATCATGAGCTGACATTAGTTAGAGAACCATTGGAAAATCTAGGAGTACTGGACAGCTGGAATTACTTACTACCACAGTGCCCAAGTTTTACACATGTATTAAAAGCAGCATTTCGATTTTGAGAAGGCATCTAAAAAATCACCGTAATGTAAAACTTACAAACTCTTACAAACTTCTTGTAATGACAGTGATTACATCTGAATACACAACCGTCAGTAGCCTGGAAATACTTCTAAATAGTCATTATTCCCTCCGTTGTGGATAGGATTTATTCTCATGAAATCTCACAATGTTATACAGTAATATTTACTGATGATCACGTTTCGAGGACAATTCATTGCTACTCATAATCATATAAGGTTATTTACACAACTTATCAACTGCGTTTATGTGGTTGCACTATTTCTCATCTCTTGATTTCATTAGTAGTAATATTTTTCATGTTTCTGGTATGTGTGGTGAGTTATTCGTATTGCACGTGTTGGGGCGGGCGGGGGTAGAGATTCTATGAACAAAGATTCAATAATTAGCCTCTCTTTCTCTCTCCACCCACCTATATTACTTCTTAGAATTTTAACTCTCTTTCACCCTAATGTGTGGTGGAGTGTTAAAGCCTGCAATTGCATTGGATGCAAATAGAGATTGAAAAAACCAAGTGGTTTCGTAATAAAGTTGTGATTTTCATTTTATAGTTGACATCATTAGGCAACTATTCACTTTATAAAATGTATCTGTTTTATAATGCTTTATAATGCATAGACTTCTAGGCAGTACTCAAACAACATTTGCTCAACTTCAAATGCATTATGTAGCTGCTATTCAGCGTAGATCCTTCAATTTAGTTCAAGTCCACTTGGATACACCTTCATCGCACATGATAGACATATCTGGAGATAATTCCGACCATTCGTCATACTCTGATATGTGTCAGGTAAGCATAATATTGCTGATTTTATCTCTCTCTCTCTTTCTTTATACTTTATTCCGTTCATTCTGCGGGTTTTGGTTCATGGTTAACGTGATATTTCCCCATTGTTTCAATTGTAGTCTATTGTATATCTATTGAAATCATTACTGCCTAAATGTTAGCTGGTACTCATAGGTAATCTAAACAATTGTATGATTATACTGACATATGTAATGTCACTAATAAGTTGAGAAACAGTTTTTTGGCCGTTAGCATGGAGAAACGTTGGTTTTTCACAAAAATTGTTTAAAGCTAGAAAACATCGGTTGATTTGTCCTTATTTAAGATAGTTTAGAAATGCACCTATTCAAATCTGATTAAAGCTTTAATCATGAACCGATATTAGTTAAAGAATCACTAAAAGCTAGGGAAAACACGATAGCTGTTTCGTCCCACTTTAGGACTCTTCATCAGAGTGCAAACCAAAGGCCTTTATGGTACGCGACGGGTCTGTTGATCATATAAGCAATGGATTTGTGTCCAGTGTCTCATCACTTCCAGTCATTAGACTATCAGTTCCGACTTAATTTTATCATGATTTGAGCGCAAGTATAGTGTAAAAAGTTATGCATACACTTGAATTAAGAGACTCATATTTCGGCGAATGGTACTATTTTTAACTCTTGCTTGTTTATTTCATTCTTTCTCTTTTTTCATCGAAATCAACCAATTTCCAGCAACTTCCCCATTGGACTCTTCTGCCTTGTCTAAGAGCAATTTGTCAAAATATGTGGCAAATTCTATTGTGTTATCATTGTACAATACAATGGCATAAGAATCGTGCTGCTGGTAAAAGTGTACGTTTCATTCTTATTTATGCATATGTATATATATATATCAACCTTTTTATTTTATTATTATTAATCACACGTAATAGTGTCATTATCATTACCATCATTTCCACCTACCCTAAATACCCCTCCTAGTGGAGTTGATGATTCCGTAAGCAAATGGGTAATATCCCCCTTGATATTTACACGTAAGATGTTAAGATGGAGTGTGCTTCTCTTTTCAGGCACATGTCATAGAATTCAAACTGTAGATTTAATGGACATAACCAAGTTTAGAAGTTAATTGGAGGATGGTGACTAGCAGCGGAATCCAAGATAAAGCGCATTTCGTCCTATTTGTGACTCGTCATCCAGATGTACCTGCATTCCGTAGTGAGTGATCATGTTCCCACCGAGGCTCAAAAAGCGTATCCTGGATTCCACTGCTAGTCACCATCCACCAGTTAACTTCTAATTAAATGCCCAGACATCGAAGCATCTGGATAAGAAGCCGACATGTTGACCAGAGACCGAGCACTTCTGTCCAAGCAATCGACGGGAAAATGTAAAATTGAATTAAAGAAATAAGTTTAGTTGAAAAAGAACAAAAGTTTAGTGATTAAAGTTATCTCATAGCATCAGACAAGAAAGGAAATAGAAATAAACAAACAAATAATAATAATAACAATAATCCCCGTTTCTATAATATTTCTTCGTGAGACCTTTACTACTTGGCTCCTGTAATCATAACTTTTATACACAAACCTTTGCTATGATGTTATTTCTGTAAGGTATTACCAATAGTAGAATTCCCTTGGGTTCTGACTGGGACATAGGGCTTCAGCAGCATATCGCCATTTCATCCTATTCTTAAGCGCGATAACAATTATTACATCAAAGTTATTCGAGTAATTAAATGGGAAAAAGGTGGAATCTTAAATTATTTATCATAATAGTTAGAACTAAGTTACTTGGAGGAGATTTTCAGCTACCAGGCTATAAATTATATTTCTTGTTTTAGAGCTGATAATACTATCCAGCTTCCCAAATTGAAACAGAAAAAAAGCGGGACTTGAACCGGGAATCTGTCGGCCGACAATAAGGCATATCCAGCTATCATAAAGGAATTGTTCAGTTTGCTTATTTCAAATGTGAATTCCAACTAATAGCGCGAAAATTATGGTCAACTGAGCAAATACCATCGTTGTGGCTGGTTTTCTTTGGTGATTAGTCTCTTAGACAGCATGGGAACCCTGTGACTCATTGGAAATGCAGGTCCCTGCAGCCGACTGCACCCAAAATTGTAAGAAATGCGCATCTGAGACTTGGCTAGTAGTCATCACCACTAATCAAATCAAAGATACAAGATGGCAAATACAACAAAGTATATGAGTGTGAGTGGAAATGGTACTGGAGTAAATTTGAGCTAACAAATAGTACTGCATAGATTTTGTCACAAAATAAAATAACATATTCATTTTGAGTTAACGTCTTTTATTGTAATTCTTCTTCTTCTTTTTATTTCAGTCGAAAAGCGCCTCTAAATCCCCTCAGTTGAACTGTAATCCATTTTCCTCGGACACTTTACTCATGAAATCAAAGCAGCATAAAACTAAATTAAAAGATGGTGAAACAGACAGTAATATTAGTAATAATAATATGACCACGGGTGATAATGACTCTGCAATTGTTATTACTGATCGAAACAGTCCTTTATCAAAATCGTCAAGTGTAACGAATGATGATCATGGATGTGATCCTGAATTGGCTAGACAGTGGCATGATTATGTCGCGTGTAAACTGGATTCTGGTCGATCACGTATTTGGTCTGAAATAATCTCACGTATTGAACCGATCCTTAGTGTTGTTGGTTTAGTTGCTAGAGATATGACATTTGATCAAATTGCATCATTGTTAACTACTGTAAATCAGTAAGTAGTATGAATATTTGGTAAATTTGCTTTTGGTGTTTTTACTTTCTTCAGATATTTTGCTTAGTTTGTTACCGCAATTATGTGATTAATCTTGCCTTGATGAAGTATTACGCGATTTGACGAAGCACAGTAGTTCGATTATGGATAAAATTTTATTTTGATAAAGTCACACAGCAATATTTACTGATGACCAGGTTTCGAGAACAATTTATTGCTACTGACATAATCATATCAAGGTACTCACCTACCTTTCTTGCTTCGTTTATGTACATGAGTAAAGATTGATTAGAAGCGTTGGTGTTAAATAACTATCCCATAAAATTCATTAGGAAGGTCATAAAAGGTTAAAAGCAAAATAAAAATAGTGGTGAAACTAGTAATCACAGTATAAATAAGAAAGAATATAGAGCATCTATAGTCCTAGCATATAAGTAGGGGACATCTGAGATCCTCCGAAGTAGGATTCTCAATAAAGCAGGAATTAGGGTGGCATTCACACCTACAAACTCACTCAGGTAAGACAGACTGTGTAGATTAAAGCACCCAGTTGACCCAATTAGACAAAATAATATAATTTATAAAATACCTTGCGATAACTGTTAGTTAAGTCGACTACATAGGTCAAACTAGTAGATCGGGCGTAGTCAGATTATCGGAACATAACAATTTGGCTAAGGTTAGAATGGTTGACCCCACATAGATAAGTAATTCAGAGGAAAAGCTCAGCAATCACACTGCATACATTAACACACAACCACACAATAGGGTGGGTGGGACAAAGTCAAAATTCTAAAGATTAATATAGGTAGGTGAATACAGAGAGAGAGAGAGAGAGAAAGAAAGGGAGAGAGAAATTGATTACTGAATCCTTGTTCATCGAGTCTACACCCAACACAAGCAATAGAAGTGACTCAATGCGAATACCACATATATGGAAGATATTATTACCACCAATCAAATCAGAGGATGATAAATAGTGTTAAAATGTATTCGATTCACAGTATAGCATTCTAACAAGTTATTTATTTTACTGACAAAGCGCTAACAACACTTGTTTTAATTCTCATCATACTGTATTCTGCTGACAATATTAATATTCGTTCCGAATGTGCTTTATCTTTCATTCTGTTTCACGCAAGTCTTATATAGATTTCATTTATATGTCTAATCAATTTTTACTAATGCATATAAACGAGCAAGAGAGTTATGTGAGTACCTTGATATGCTTGTGAGCAGTAATAAATTTTGCTCGAAATGTGGTCATCAGTAAATATTACTGTATAACATTTTGTGATTTTATCATCATAAAATTTTATCCATAATGGCATAGTTATGCTCTACCACAGTGTCCAAGTTTTATCCTTATAAAAATCAGTACAGTAGTAATGAGTTGTGATCATTATAGCAAGCTTAGCAGACATACTGTGAGTGATAACATTGTCATGCCCTGTTCACTTAAAAAAACACTTTCATTTGGTAATTGGTATGCGTGTGTATCATAGTGTTGGATTGGGTCAATTTATACAAGTCTAAGCCACGTAGGAAAGTGTAGACTTCCTAACTGGTTGGGGTCCTCGGGACGGTAAAAACCAATGGTTGGACACAATTGGTGACATGGCTGAAAATCATTCTCAGTAGCGCAGATGCATCCACTCCTTGTGACTTATGATTTCCAATGAAACTGTTTTGTTCTTCGTTATTACTCTTCCTTTGTCTCACACCTCTGTTTGTTGTCTCTATTATGCATTTCTACTACTTTCTTCTCTTGCTTTGTGTGCTACAAAGAGGGAGTGTGGCGAATTGAACTGCCGCACATATGTGCAAAGTTCTATGTCGAAAACAGACAGACAGACTCATCAGTTTATGTAGTTTCTGTGCTTCTTTTTTATTTAGTCTCTTGTGTGAGATACAGGATTGATCCAGTTTCTCTTTACGAAACATACTGGTTCGGGAAAGTGTTCACAACCTCTGTTTCGAATATACTGTTTGATATCTTTTTGTGAGAGAGTTGTATCCATAATACGAAACGACGAATATGAATACCAGAGGTTAATCTTCGAAAACTGGAAATTCCTGATTCTGAATATTGACTCGCAATATTTAACTTGGGCTTCAAAGTCTTCAACGATCCATCTGGGCAACCAAAATAAGACAGCTCATGACGCTATCTTGTTGATTGATTTAGACATAAAGTTACCGACCTCGAAGGTAGGTACATTAAGTAATCGTTTCTTCCTACTCGAGCGTGATTCATTTATTGCCTGAAGAATAATCTGTTGAATTTATTGTTCGAATCCCGGTGGGTGCGTACTGCTGAAGAGTCCCAAACTAGGACAAAACATTTGTCCAGTACTCCCAGGTTTGTCAATGGTTCTCTGACTAATGTTGGCTCATGATGAAATTTTGCAAACGAATTTTTTGTTATTACTCTTTCATATCAACTGTTTTCTTTAATTGCTATCAGTTTTACACTTTTTTTAATTTTTATTTTCGTTAACTTCTTATCATTATTTGGAATCCAAACTTCTCTATACTGTATTGATTTGCTGAACATTTAATTTCACATAGCTCTCTTCTCATGTGATATCTAAAGAGGTATTTTGATACCAAGTTCGCCGTCTAATATGTTTACATCTTGATGTCAAATGTAATACAGAGGAGTTTGAAGAGACGTTATAAAGCCTCTCTGTTGATATATCCTGTATTTCGTAGACTCGCTTTCAAGATCTTACAGTAGGCGTTTGAATGAACTTACCGTCCATTATATCAAAAAAGCTTCTTTTTCTATAAATGGGTATTCCGGGACGCTGTTAGTACGGTTTTCGATACTAAAACTGTTGCTCAACTGTTTTACTAAACACTCATCAATAAGTATTTATGTGCTGTCGTCATGCATGTATATCCTAGATAAACTGAAGGTCGAACCTACCTAAGGATAAATTCTTCATTCAACTGAGTAGTTCCTCTAGTCATAGATGCTCAACAAATATTGAATATGAAGAAAGCAAGAACTAAAGTTTTAGCAGAATAAAATGGTACCATCTTTTATTTCGTTGCCTTCTCGTCAGCTGCTTACATGGCAAAGACATTATT